CGGTCCGGTACCGGAACCGCCGGTCCGGGAACCGGAACCGGTACCGGCCGGCACGGTGACGGTTCCGGTGACATGGGGTGGCGGTACCGGAACCGGCAGTTCCGGAACCGGAACCGTACCGTGTCCACCCCTAGTACCGCCACTCTTTTGTTCTTGATTTCATACTCTATATTTTCATATTCTTTTGACAATGATGGTCAAAAATAACATTATAAGTTAATAAAATAAAATTCTTTCAAAAAAAATAATTATTTCACAAAGGATTACACGAAACACGATTCAGGTTTGAAGACGTATTTAAAAAATTCTTAAGAATTCTATGATTCAAAATGCATGCTTCATATAAACGAATTAAAATGAAATATTTGAAAAAGGAAAAGCATGTAATCTCTTAACAAAAGTTTAAATCAAGCCAAATATGAAATTATAATCGTGGTGTAAACTATTGAAATTTCTCAAATAGAATTTATAAAGACAAGATATGTAATGTTTAACCTCTAAATCTGTAGATCTGTGTGGTAGAAGAGAATAGCATATAAAATCAACAATTTTCTGGAAATTTAATGTTTAATCTCCTAGATGCGAGCACTTAGAAATATTCAAAACACAAATTTGCAGAAACATTAAACGAAGTCTATGAATCTATATGCATGCTAACTATAATCGAGGTGAAAACACGCCACATGCACAAAAAATTCAATGAAGTTGAGGTTAAATTATCAGGGATGAAAAATCAAATGCTCTCCCACCCACAAAAGATAATAAATTTCAGTGAAAATAATCACCACCTTACCAGATGTGATGCCAATTGGAGAAGCAGGAGTACTCTACTCGCCTAGAAGGGCTAATGGAGTAAATGAGCGGCGCTTACACAGGGGCTATTTGGGGGTATAAATCAAAAAATGGTTTAGGGTTTGATAAAAAGGGCGGGTCCGCCCATTACACTCAATCTTATATCCTCCTATTTACAATAGTAGCAGGAAAATTTTCCCGCTCAATTGTAGGGGTGCATACAAATCAAATAAAATGTATTCGATTCGTGATTCGTATTCGAAAAGGATGATTCGTATTTGCTATATTCGAATTCGAATCCGAATACAAATCATATTTTAGATTCGAATTATTTTCGAATTCGAATACAAATATTAATAGATTCGATTCGTTTATTATTCGAATTATTCGAATATTATAATTTATAAATAAATTTATATATATTCTAACATATTTTTACTACATTTTACATTATTATAAAATAATAATTTAATGTCTTTAATGAGTCTATTTTAAAAAAATTACTAATATTTTCGAATTCGAATATTCAAATACGAATTCAAATACGTCAAATATCTATCGAATCGAATACGAATGTTTTTTAAAATTCGAATTATATACGAATCCGAATTCGAATACATATCACTTTAATCGAATACGAATCGAATAGTGATATATTTGCTTCGATTCGATTCGTATACACCCCTACTCAGTTGTGCCAGGCCAATACAACTCTTCCGTGTTAAAAACCGCAGCACAAAGTCTCAACCACCCACTAAAGGGACCTTTTAATCAGATGAGGTGCAGCGTATCTGCGTATGTGTAGTTAATCGATCGGAACATTGCAACGGAGAAGATGGAGGCTTGCAAAGGAGAAGATGGAGGCTTTCTTGCAGGAGTATTGTTCATAGTCTTCCTCGACTTTGACCTAACGGGTACAGTACATCCTAATTTCATCAATTTCCTGATATATTCTTTTCATAAGTAAGGTTTCAATCCATCTATACCCCTATATATCTCCATATCAATTTCATGTTAATTTCATCAGTTTTGTAGATTGATTTCAAAATAAGCATATGGTTTGTTTAGATACATTTCTTGAAGTATACACTAATCAACCCATTTATGGCGTCTTAGGTTTTTCTTGATATTTAATCACAAAGAATATTGTTTTTTAAATTTAGCATATTATTAAATGAAATCAAATATCCAAAATCCGTAGGTTGAAACCCAAACGGTAGTAGAAATGCACAGAAAAATCAGTAAAAAAATAGACCATTTTCCAATTTGTGGACATTATACTTGCATAGGGCATGCTAATCTTCATTGTCTTATGCTATAATTTTGTGATATGCCAGAGGTATAGAGAGATGTCTCCATTTTGCTTTTCTTTTATAGATCTTATGCAAACAACATATGGCTGCAGGAGTAGGTTCATAATATCATTCCAACTGTCCTTGGTGCTTTGGATGGTTTTGTGTTTGAATCCATCCCAGATCCTATCACAAACGTATGCACTCAAGGTGTTCAACAAAATTCCTCAAAGGGAATTTCTATATTTCTATTTCTGGAGCATGAACAATTATTTAATTTTTAATTCTAGCAGGTGATTCATCAAATACCAGGCCCCTTCCCAGCACCATGAGTCTTATTCTAACATCAGTGTTTTTTTATGAAGCTTTCTTCAAACTCTAAATTTCAAAGCTTATGGATTTCGGTGTGTTTCCTATGGGTTTTCAGGTGTCAATAAGAGGTCAGACGTGCATTCATGTTCTCATCGCTCACTGGTAAGACAGTACAAGTATGTGTTAGGCCCCCACTCCAAACAAATCGAAAGAAAAGGAAAAAAAAAGAGCACACAATTTTTAACTTGGTTCGGCACCTCAAGACCTACTCCACGACCCCCTCTGGGATAAAATCTCACTAGTAATTTTTGCACGGAAAAATTACAAACCCTCTTCAATATTTGACACTCACAACCTAAAATCTAATACACAATTATATAGATTGAAGGATTGTGTTGTGTGATGGAAGCCTATATCTCCTCTTTATTTATAGGCTCCAATCCCTCCTCAATTTTCCTATCCCACCGATGTGGGACTTTGAAGTAACACTCAACAAATCTCCCCTTAATTCAAAGTCCTACATCATTTGCGATTTCTGCAGCGATACTTCCATCCTGCAGAATCTTCTGTCCAGCAGTACTCTTATCTTCAGAGGAGATCATCTTCATAAGTGATCACATTTGCGAAAGAAGCTTCCTTCGATTTGCCCTTCTTCTCCTTTAGGATCTGCAAGTCCTCCTTGAGTTCTGGACAACC